AAAAAAAGAGAAAATTTGGCGACATATTCACTTGACCAGCACAAGCAGCAGCAAAAAAATTCTGTTTTTTTGCATCCTCATTGAAAAACGATTACGCTGTTTTGGGATACACTGAACAGCAGCAGACAAATGGCCTACTGTTCCGATCGAGGGCAAATATATGAAAAAACATGCTGCTCACTTTTATTTTTCGATTCCATCGTGCGAGGGCATTTGCACTTGGAAAGTTGGCCGATACTAAATACGAAAACGATTGCTATGATTGCCAAGCATCGTCGTCTACTCACACTGTACACACAAGTTGGCCTTGTTGGCTTCTTTTTCCTCCTTTTCTTCTTCTTCACTCCCTCTTGCCACCCTTTTTTACATTTCCTTTGCTCTCCAGTGAGCACATCGACAGCTTTGCAATATATATTACCCGCCAGTGAAGATCAATAACACGAAAAAAAAGAAAAAAGGAAGAAGAAGTCAAGAGGCGCCAGACTGCAGACCGCCGTTGCCCGCTGCAGTGTTTGTTTCAGTCAAAGCTCGCGTAATAACAACTTGAAAGTTGCAACTTTTTTGTATTTATTTTTATTTAACATGAAACTCTTGATTTTGCACACAACTTGGCAATACATCTTCCTCTTGAATAGATTGATCTAGGCAAAAAAAAGAAGGAGAAGGAGAAGAAGGTGTACAAACGCTCAGCTCAAGTGAACACAGCCAAGCAGCAGTGAATCAAAGGTGACAGTAGTTTACACCACGGCAACGAGGTAGGGAAGGAAAGAAGGCAAAAAGTGCAACGCCAGAGATGTGGTTGCTGGCCATAATATCGGAGAAGAGGAAGAGAAGGAAGGGAAGGAAGAAGTAAGGAACAGGCCTCTAGGTGCCAGTTTAATATGAAAACGGCCAGTTGGCTTTTATGGCCCCACCGACCTCATTGGGCTAGGCACACACACACGCATACACATCGAAGAGCACTGCCACTTGTGGCCACATGTTGTCTAACATTGACGGTGCTAGTCTGGACGTAGCAGTTCACCTTACACTGGCCGCATTTCTCTCCTCATCACTATTGTCTTTGTTTCTATGAAATCAGCTAAAATGAAAGAAAGGAGGCAAAAAGACAGAAAAAATTGTCGTCATCATCACTTTTTGTCTGTGCAATTATTTGCAGTCCTTGTTCTGAGACGACGACGACAAGCGAGCAAAGGAGACTCTCAAAATTAAAAAACCTTTGTCGTCTTTTCTTGTCGATTTTTTTCTTCTTCTTCCTCTTCTGCCCACTACCACCACAACTCCCACTGTTTGCCAACAGCAAATGGGCGCTGCTGTTCGGTGAGCAGAGGCAGCAGCAGCAATGAGCAACCTTAGCCCACAACTGTACGGCCACCAGGCACAATAATTAATGACCAGGGCAACCTAGAGGGAAGAAAGCTGAAGGCAGCCTATTACTGATTTGCTGTCGGGCCAATTGTCACAACCAAAAAAAATAGAACTAACCGCCGTCTGTCCCAGCAAAACGTCTGCTCAAAGTATAAAAGCGCACCGAGAAGCGGGCAATTGTCGTCGGGAGAAACAGATTTTCTGGTGGTCAATTTGTCAGACTGCCACCGCAATAACAACTGTGAACACAACAAACCAACCGACAGACAGACCGGAGAAACGGAGAGCAAACAGCTAGCCAAAACAACAAAAGCCAACAAACTCAAACATCAGAGGAGTTCTTCTCGAAACTGGAGACATATCTTTCACTTTCGCACTCCCTTTTCTTCTTCTAGCAAAAATGGCCGCCAGCAGCTGCAGCAGCATTCTCAAACTGTCCCTCTTCTGCCTGACACTGCTCGTTAATCATCGGGTCGCCTTTGGTCAGAGTGGCGGTCCTGCCTTGAACGATGAGCTTCACTCTTCCCACCGACAACTTCTACTGCCACCACCACCACAGCAGCGCATTGAGGCACTTGAAGGTAAAGCCCTGCAGTGGCATCTGAAGCGCTGGAACCTTCGCATGGCCAATGTGGTCGGCGAGAAGATCGTCGGAGGCGTCAACGCGGAAGAGGGCGAGGCGCCCTTTCAGGTGCAACTCTTTCGAAAGACCTGGTCGTCGGCCTCCTTTCTCTGCGGTGGCAGTTTGATCTCGCCAAGAACGGTGCTCTCAGCTGGACACTGCGTCACAAAGTAAGAGCACAACAATAGGAGCACAAGTCTTCAATCAACTCACGCATTTGTTTGTTTGCAGCTCCTACTACGGAGTCCGCTACGGCAGCAACAGCCGCCTCAAGTCGCCCTATCCCGAGCTGAGCCTGAGGACAATCATTCAGCACCCGAACTTCACCCTGGCCACCGTACAGAATGACATTGCTCTCTTCATACTCGAGAATGCCATTCAACCGGGGGCGAATGTGCGGGCGGTTGAGCTGCACACTGAGGAGCTGGCAGAGAAGGATAACATGACACTGTTTGGTTTTGGCCTGGTGAATGGAGTCGGTTTCAAGCCCGCCTTCAACCTGCAAAAGGCCGACATGCAGATTGTCGGTGAGAAGGAGTGCGCGGAGTTTATTGAAAAACTGGACCTGGTAAAAGGGGAGGGCATGTTCTGTGCCCGCTCTCCAGCCCGATCTGCCTGCAATGTAAGCACATTCTTCTTCTTCTTTGAGTTGAGCGACATTTTTGTTGTTCTTTCAGTAGTAGTACTTGAACTAAATATTTCTCGACATTTCTAATTTCTCTACTCGTCCCTTCACAGGGCGACAGTGGCGGGCCGCTGATTGCCAAGGAAAGTGGCCGTCAGGCTGGCGTCGTGTCATTTGGAACACGATTCTGCCCTGAAGGCTCCATTAATGTGTACACTAAAGGTACCAGTTGCAAAGTGAACGTAAATGTCAAGATTTATGACCATTAACTATTATTTTCTCTTTTTTCTTTGCCGAAAAACAGTCTCGCACTACATTGACTGGATCAAAGATAATATAGAGCAGTGAAGATCAGAGTGATCTTCTTAATTGGCCAGCCAATCAACTCGAATGTCAATTGGGTTTCAAAATTGTTCTTTTATTGTCCTTTCAACAGTATTGTTGTTCGAAGGAAGTTTAAATTAAAATTCAAAAAACAAGAATGTATAACTTTAACATTAAATAAAAATCATTTTTTAAAAATAAAAGGACTTAATTTATTACAGATGTCTACTAACATTCTTTTCAATGTAACACTGCACAGTCCTGATGAACTTCATCTTTTACCTTTAAGTAGCCTTTACCAGTGGCTCAACAGGGGCATCATCATTATCACCACTGTTGGCATCATTCTGATCACCACCTTCACAATGTACTCTCACAATGTCCATTCAAAACTCACCAGTCAGTTGGAGGAAGAAAAAAGAACACAAGAAGAAGAAAAAAGAACACAAGAAGAAGAAAAAAGAACACAAGAAGAAGAAACATACAAACTTAGCGAAAGCGTTTGCATTGACTTTAGCTCTTACACTGAACCACCGAGTAATGGCAAGGAAGGCACAATAGCAACTGACGACACTTTATCAACAGTTCAACAACCAACTACAGCCGGACAACAACAACACACAAGAGCAAACTCACAAACAAGCTCGTTGACGACCACCCTACCAGTTTAGTCATCAAGTAGCCCTTCAACCATCAGCATTACAACGGAAATCGTCCCAGTAGAAAAGAGGTGCTAAAAGTAGATGTTTAAAAACTAAGTAAAGCAGCCATTTCTCTCTGTTTTCTCCTCTCAGCCCGCACTGGGCACGATAATTGTCATTACAGCCGAAAACATTGATCCGACAGTTTGTGCCCAGCAGTACCGATGAATGCCGTACACAAACTGTACACAAACACACACATTACACACACGCGCGCGCATTTGGTGTACATCTGGGAAACAAAAAAAAGTACAGCCAAGTTAGTCAGAGGCTTAGCGTGTCAGTGGCAGACGAAGGGCAATGGATTAGGAGAGCAGAGAGAACTGGTCGAGCCAAAACAGAGCCAAGAACTATTGGGCACTATTGAGCGGCCAGCAGAAAAACAGGCAGACAGGCTTGTAAGCAAATCTCAGTGTGAATAATTGGATAGTGATTGGTCTTGGACAGTGAGTGCTGGGCTGCTGCACAGCTACTTTTTTGTTTACCAAATCAAGTATTCCTTATTTTTTCCATTTCACAGTAGGTCTCCTTGAACAATTGCAATTGCATTTACTAGCAGCAGAAGCAGGCTGGCGTACTGCATCTTGATAAGATGGAGGTGCTCTTTTGTTTTAAAACTTTATTTTTACTTTGAATTTGATCAAGATTTTGAAATGTGCCAAAATTTACAATTTAAAACTTGTGTGTTTATTCAGCCCAGTCGTCCGACTGGCAGCAACAGCAAGCGCACCAAAAAAGTCTGTTTTCTAACCACTCAATTACCAGAGAACATGGCAGATGCAAATTTAATATGCTTTGCAATAAATCAAAAATGCAAAAGTCTGGTTTGAGTCAAAAAAAGTGCCAATGAGAAAAGGAATAGAGTTGTCTTGAATTGAAGCTGTAATTTTCTTTGCAAGCTAATGATTGCATTTGCTGGTGTCACTGTTGAAGGAAGAGGAACACACCACTGCGACGCTTTTCATCGACACACACTTTAGGGCACAATAAATCACGGCATTCCAAATATCGACACTTGCATTTCGAGTGACTATTTTTTTCGTTTTCTGCTGTCTTCTTCCGTTGTCTAGTTTTGATTTCATATTTCATTTTTTTTGCCAAGTATGACCAAAGCTATCGATTTACCCCAGTTTGCTTAAATTTAGCTTCTTTTTGCATCTAAACATAACAACTGCTTACACAAACATGAGTTTTCTAGAAACAAAACAATGACTATGTTTTCTTAAAACCAATTTAAATCTCCAATGACATTTTATTTTCAAATTGTTTATTTGTTAAAGTGGTTAAAAAACACAAACTTTTAAAAACTGAAATTTTTACATAGATGGAAAATGGCCAACATTGAAAAAATGAAAAATAACTAAATATTTGATTTTTTAATAATTTTGAAACTACGACTACAAACAATAAAAAAATTTAAAAATGTTTATCATATACAAAAACTATTAGCGTTAACTATTATTAAGTTTTGTATAATTAATAAAACAATAAAAGTATAAAATTAACAGTTTTTTGTTTTACGGTTGACGTTAATCTTAAACTCAACGGGGCGCCATTTTCAAAAGAATTTTTCATTAGATAAAAAACACACATCACATTAAAATTGCTACGGCAGTCAAATGCAAATTCTGCTAAACAAATATTAAAACTGAAAAAATAGATTAATTTGAGTTATAAATATTTAAGAAAGACATAATATTTTTTCTTCATTCTAAAAAAATTTTAATTTAAATGCAAATACCAACGCCAAGAGCAAAAATGCTGTTTTCCTAAAATGATGTTTAAATTAAATTTTTATCACTGTTAAATTTTACAAATTTAAATTCAAATTAAAAAGAGTCCAATATAGTGAGTGAGCGTGCGTGTGTTTGACGGAAAAAGGTCGATTGAGAAGTGGTTAGCAGCAAAATGGACGGTTCAAGGAGTGAAATAAAGAAAATGAGAGTGAGAAATAGAGAAAAATTGCCTCAGTAATTGCAAAGTGTAAGTGTGCGAAATCGATTAAACTGCCAACTGCTAATAGCTAACAGTGTGAAGGAGCAAAAGTAGAAAAAAGCCAAAAAGAAAAAGTGGCCAAGAACTAGGGACCAATGAGAGAATGAAGTTGTTTTAAATTGAAATGTGCACATTATACACTTGAAATTGCAGAACAGTGCAGTGTTGTGCTAGAAGAGACAGTTGAAAACGGAAAAATCGTAATATTGAAAAGTTGAAACAAACAAAAGTTTGGCGTTTTTTTGTTTCACTTTCACTGAACACTGTCCAAGCGTTTGTGCGTTTGTGTGTTTGTGTCTGGGTAACTGCAAAAGGCAAACATCAAACAGTAAAGATAAAGTGAGAAAAAGTGAGAAAAGAAAAAGTCCAATTGAAACATCTGTGTGCACATCTGTTTGCAGTGGACAAACTCACTACCAGACAACCAAACGGGAAAACGCATACATGGACGGCAGATCGAAAGCTTTACCAATCTGCAAATAGCACCGAGTGCAATGAAAAAAATAGATTAAAAGGGGAAAAAGAAAACAAAAAGTTTGCATTTTCATTCCCTCTCACCAAAGTGTATCACAGCGTTATGAGCACAATCTGTTCAGTAACTTTGGGCACTTCTTGAACTAGAGCTAAGTGCATCTAAAATATTCATAACTTGACTGTTTTGTTGTTTTTTACGTCTGTCTGGAAATAGGTAGAGTGAGATACGGCAATTAAAGTGCAGTCAGTTTGAAAATATACTGTTAGCGAGATTTTTTTTCTCATAGGCTTTTAGGCCTACTCAGCAAAATGTGACACTAAAGTGTGTAAAATACAAAGATACAGGTTTGATTTTTAGCGTACTGAAAAAACGTTGAGTTTGTCAATAAAGAACAGAAAAAATGCAACTATTTTAAAAATATAAAAATTGACAATATGTTGAGAGTTAATGGGTTCCCTTTGTCCAAAGTTAGTTGGCTATGAGTCTATTGGCGCCTGTCTACCGCAACCAAAAACTGAGTCGCTACCTAATCGAATATTCGCCACCACACTCGTCCGTTTCGTGGTGGTAAAACTAACACCGTACAACAGCACCAGCAGCAGCAACCGAGGCGCGGACTACAGTTTGGGTCATTTGGGCTCTTCTATTCTACGTTTAGGGAATATATCTCGTGTTGAGAGGAGAAGTGCGAGGGAAGTGAAGGAGAGGGAGGAAGAGGGTGGCATGAGAAGAAGGCAAAACAAAGTGTCTAGACAATCTCTACTGTAATTTAGTCCATTACTAACTGAGTGTACAGGAGCAGCACCTCTAGCCCCTCTAGCGCAGTGTGATAATTATCCACTGGCGGCCATCATTTGCTGTGCACCAGCGAGCTTTATGCATTTGGCAAGTGAATGGGCGCCAGTGTGTGCGCTCTGTGATTGGAATAAGCAAATGGTTTAGTAATAGTGACCACAAGTCGGAAAGAGTAGTGAAAGTGAGCAGATGAATATTAACCGAGCACCAGTGAAAATGGCACAGCAGTGGCCATTGAACTGCTGCAACTGTGCGGCTAGATCACTGACCAGAACTTTGCTCTCTTTCTGTCTGTCAGTCACTCCTGTGATTGAGTGATTGGGGTTGCCTAAATCCGTAAGTTTGGTGTCGACTGATTGAAGTCCAGTACCGTCAATAAATTAATAATTTGCCAGTGGTTTAGCACTGGCGCTGGCAACCCTAGCAATGGTGCTGGCGGTGGCAATGGTGGTGCCAATGTACCAATAAATCATTCATTGACGCCTATGCTGATGTTGTTGCACTCTGCACCAGCACTAAACATAGAAAAAAGAAAATTAATTTGCACACACACACACACGTTCTTTTTGCCTTTGCACTTATTTGCAATATCAAGGCAGGCAAACAACAGACAGTGTTTGGTAGATTGAAATTGAAAATCACTAAATTCCACATTACTGCCTCGTCGCTTAGCCGTCGAGCAAACAACAGAATAATAATAATCATGCAGCACGGAAAGGGGAAAGAACTTTGCTGAATGGTTGGTGTGTGCGTCTGATCACTTTTACAAACCCAAAATTGTCCAGCCAACGTCGACAATTTGCATATTATGAAGGACTACTAACGGCGGCACTAACAATTGGATTAGTGCTTTTTCTTTTTTTCTCTCAAACACACAATTTTTTCAGTTTTGCTAGTTGCTAGTGAAACTCATAATCTCAGCTAATGTAAGTAAATTTGTCTATTTGTCCAG